TTTTTTTGAGATGGAGTCTCACTCTAGCCTAGGCTGGAGTTCCAGTGGCACAATCTCAGCTCACTGCAACCTCTGCCTCAAGGGTTCAAGTGATTTCGCCTGCCTCAGCCTTCCAAGTAGCTGAGACTACAGGCATGTGCCACCACACCCAGCTAATTTTTTGTATTTTTAGTAGAGATGGGGTTTTATCATGTTAGCCAGGATGATCTGGATCTCCTGGCCTCAGGTGATCCGCTTGCCTTGGCCTCCCAGAGTGCCAGGATTACAGGTGTGAGCCACTGCACCCAGCCATCTTTCATCTTTTCTGTACCTGTTCACCCATCCATCTCTTAGTTTATAAAGTATATATTAAAGACATTCCCATCATTTGTTGTGTAAGAGGCTAGGAATTAAGTGAGTTCTCTTGGCACATTTGAGTATCTTATTTGTCTGTTCTTACCTTTCACTCAGCTTCTCTTAATGGTAATATCTTAAATAGGTAGGCACAGTTATCGTGAACATGAAGTTCATTTTGGCATGTTACTATCAACTAGTCTATGGATCTTTTTTAAATTTCACAAGATTTACCACTGTGTCCTTTTTTCTGTTCCATAACCTTGTCTAGGGCCTCACATTGCACTTAATTGTCATGTCTGATTATGTAAGTGGTGATATATAAGTGGCTTAGGTTTTTAATGTTTATTTAATGTGCAATTTAAGGAACTCTTCCAAAAAGCTTCTTAGCACTTAGAAAATACGCAACTTGAATATCGAGAGTGCCTTTTTAGAGAAACACTTGAACCCAGGAGGCAGAGGTTGCAGTGAGCCGAGATTGTGCCACTTCATTCCAGCCTGGGTGAGAATGAGAGACTCCGTCCCAAAAAAAAAAAAAAGTAGCACCTTTTTAGATAGCCAGTTTATTAGCTTCAAAGCAGGATTTTTTTTCACATCATGTTAGCTAGAAACTTTACCAGAGAGGTTTTTTTCCTTCTAAAAGTTTCATAAGAAATAAAATTTGTAAGGTGACAAAATTAAGCAAATGTAAATCAGTCAGACACTATTGCTTTTGAGATTTGGCATTATGGCTTTCTAATCAAGGAATGTGAAAACATGTCAAAATGTGTTCAGTGGTTTTTGGTGGTGAAGTTCTGGAATAAGAAAATTGGTTGTGGATCCTGGGATTCAAAAAATGAGAATATGTTATGGCGTTAATAGTCATTTTTAACAGTATTAATATATTTGGAAATTGAGATGATTGTATTTGGAACTGTATCCAAATAATTGTTGTTTGTATTTACAGAAAAAGATCTATAAAGATCAGATGGAATACATGTTGCAGAATCATGTATTCCCTCTCTTCAGCAGTGAACTAGGCTACATGAGAGCAAGGGTATGTTTTAAAGCTGCATTATTTATATACTTCTGTCTTGTAATGAATGACTCTGGACTTTTATATTGAAACTTTTAAATGTTCACTTTGAAGGCTGTATTTTATTTTAGGTTTCTGTTTAGTGTACATGATTACATGGCTGCTGTAATGTGTGCATAGCTTTCATCTGTGTCTGGTAGCAGTGTCTGTCTGTGTTTTGCATTCAGATCTTGCTATCCACACAAATGTCATGCAGCCAAAGAGTAACTTGGGATCATAGTACTGGTCTAGTGTTGTCTCTGGACACATCTACCACTGGCCAGCCTCCAAAGTCCCATACACAGAACTCAGGGATTAGAGATTAGCGTGGGGGAATTTAAGGCAAGGTATCTACACTAACTCACTGTATTTTTACAAAAGGCTTGCTGGGTGCTTCACTATTTTTGTGAAGTGAAGTTCAAAAGTGATCAGAACCTTCAAACGGCCTTAGAGCTAACAAGAAGATGTCTAATTGATGATAGAGAAATGCCTGTGAAAGTGGAAGCTGCCATTGCCCTTCAAGTATTGATCAGCAATCAAGAAAAAGGTAAAGGATTTGTATGTCAAGAAAAGTGAATGTTGGCCAGGTGTGGTGGGTCACGCCTGTAATCTTAGCGCTTTGGTAGGCTGAGGCAGGAAGAATGCTTGAAGCCAGGTAAGACCAGCCTGGGCAACATTGCTACAAAAATTTTTTTCAAAATTAACTGGACATTGTGGCAGGTACCTGTAGTCCCAGCTACTTGGGAGTCTGAGGCAGCAGGATCACTTGAGCCCAGCAGTTCAAGGCTGCAGTGTTCTGTGATTGCCACTGCCCCCCAGCCTGGGCAACAGAGCAAACCCCTGCCTCTTATTTAAAAAAAAAAAAATAGTAATGAGTGTCTTTATGCCTGATTGTAAAAAGGCATAATCCTAGAAACTTGGCATACTTCCTTTTTTATGTGAAAGTACTTTTTTAAAAAGCTCATTGATACACTCTTTCTCTTACAGCTAAAGAATATATCACACCATTCATCAGACCTGTAATGCAGGCTCTTCTTCATATTATAAGAGAAACAGAAAATGATGACCTTACCAATGTAATTCAGAAAATGATCTGTGAATATAGTGAAGAAGTTACTCCTATTGCCGTGGAAATGACACAACATTTGGTATGTTGTTTGAACATATCATTTTTGCAAGCATTTTAGTTTAGCTCTCAGTATGTTCCAGATTGTGTCACAAGTGGCTTGCCTTACCTTATAGCAGCGGTCCCCAACCTTTTTGGCACCTGGGACTGGTTTTGTGGAAGATAATTTTTCCACAGATGGTCCAGGGGAGATGCCTTTGGGATGAAACTGTTCCCCCTCTTATCAGGCAGTGATTTCTCATGAGGAGTTTGCACATTTCACAGTAGAGTTCGTGCTCCTATGAGAATCTCTGGCAGTAATACTCACCTGCCATTTACCTACTGGTCCTAACAGGCTATGGAACAGTACCAGTCTTTGGCCTGGGGACTTGGGATCCCTGCCTTATAGCAGATACTTGATAGACATTACTGTGTAGCACATAACGCCCTTGACAGATACTTAACTTACTTAATTCTAACACAATTGTGTGTGAGAATTATTCCTGTTCTACAGAGAAAATGTAAGATACAAAATGGTTAAGTTAATTACCTAAGCTAGACAGGGTGGGGGTGGGATTCATACATGAGCCTTCATAGTAGTTTTTTTTTTGTTTGTTTTTTTTTTTTTTTTTTTTTTTTTTAATAAATACAGATGGGGTGTCATCATGTTGGCCAGGCTGGTCTCGAACTCCTGCCCTCAGGTGATCCACCCAAAGTCCTGGGATTACAGGCGTGAGACACCGCGCCCGGCCCATAGTAGTTGTTCTTAATCTTAGGCATGACTATCTGTAGAGAGGCCTGGAATGCTCAAAATAATTGATTGAATATTACAAAAGATAAATCAGTAACTCCCTTGATGATTAAATATACTTTTATTTGGGCGTTGTCAAGTACTAATGAGCAATATTAATGAAAACTATTCACAATATTAAGTACTTTTTATACCTTGTCTCACTTAGTCCTCACACATTGTGTATGAAATCCCCGAAGTAACATGCAGAAAGAGGTCAAGTAACTTGTTTAAGGTCACCCAATGAGTAGACCATTTGATTATAAAGCTTAAGCTCTTTATTATCATTAATCAATTTGGAGACATTGATTTGTTGTGGTATCCCAATGAGAACATTCTAAAAATTAAAAGTCTTAGACCAGCTTTCCGTGCCGGTAGCGCTCACGCAGAAATGGCGAACGTTCCTAAAACCCGCCGGACTTTCTGTAAGAAGTGTGGCAAGCACCAACCCCACAAAGTGACACAGTACAAGAAGGGCAAGGATTCTCTGTATGCCCAGGGAAAGCGGCGTTATGACAGGAAGCAGAGTGGCTATGGTGGGCAAACTAAGCCGATTTTCCGGAAAAAGGCTAAAACTACAAAGAAGATTGTGCTGAGGCTCGAGTGCGTTGAGCCCAACTGCAGATCTAAGAGAATGCTGGCTATTAAAAGATGCAAGCATTTTGAATTGGGAGGAGATAAGAAGAGAAAGGGCCAAGTGATCCAGTTCTAAGTGTCATCTTTTATGAAGACAATAAAATCTTGAGTTTATGTTCAAAAAAAAAAAAGTCTTAGACCAAAACATATTTATAATGCCTCAATGACAAACTTGAGTTATATTCTCTGTAATCTAGGCAATGACATTTAACCAAGTAATCCAGACGGGGCCAGATGAAGAAGGTAGTGATGACAAAGCAGTTACTGCTATGGGAATTCTGAATACAATTGACACACTTCTTAGTGTAGTTGAAGATCATAAAGAGGTAAGCAGATGATCCAGTGTTGCAGTTTTTCAAGCCATTTTATGCTTTTTTGAGGGCTGTAATATCTCTCCGGCTGTCTCATGTACCTTGTTACCATTTTCCCTTTTATAAAGATAAGATTGGTGCCTTACATTTTAAGTTCTAAAGCATTAGTAGAAGGAATAGGAAGCAAGTATTTGTTTTACTATTTTAGGGCCCAGGATTTTGGCTCCTCATTATGTTTTCTGATATCCAGAAGGATGGTGGTTCCCAGGAAAAAAATATTTTTCTTTTTATTTGTTTGAAAAATTTTGGTGAAATACACATAGCATAAAATTGACAATCCTAATCATTTCTAAGTATACAGTTCACTGATATTAAGTATATTCACATTGTTACGCAGTCATCACTACCATCTTCGTAGTTTTCTTCTCTTCCAGTTGCCTTTTGGAAAAGTAAGTTGTAATAATGAATTTTTTGTGTGTGTGTGAGAGTCTCGCTCTGTTGCCCAGGCTGGAGCACAGTGGCGAGATCTCAGCTCACTACAACTTCCGCCTCCTGGGTTCAAGCAATTCTCCTGCCTCAGCCTCCTGAGCAGCTGGGATTACAGGCACCTGCCACCCCACCTGCCTGATTTTTGTATTTTTAGTAGAGACAGATTTCATCATGTTGGCCAGGCTGGTCTTGAACTCCTGACCTCAGGTGATCCACCTGCCTTGGCCTCCCAAAGGTGAGGTAATCCCAGGTGTGAGCCACAATGCCCAGCCACCCAATAATGGATTTTTAAAAATGAAATTATTTAAAACATACAGAAAAGAGTAAAGAACAAGAAAACTATAACTAATACTTTACCTTTATTACATTTCTAACACTTAAAATGTTTCTTTTATGTTAAGAAAAACTATTTCAGGGCTGGCGCAGTGGCTCATGGCTGTAATCCCAGCGCTTTGGGAGGCCATGTTGGGCGGATCACTTCAAGCCAGGAGTTTGAGACCAACCTGGCCAACATGGTGAAACCTCATTTCTACTAAAAATACAAAAATTGGCCGGGCGCAGTGGCTCACGCCTGTAATCCCAGCACTTTGGGAGGCCGAGGCGAGTGGATCACGAGGTCAAGAGATCGAGACCATCCTGGTCAACATAGTGAAACCCCGTCTCTACTAAAAATACAAAAAAAAATTAGCTGGGCATGGTGGTGCGTGCCTGTAATCCCAGCTACTCAGGAGGCTGAGGCAGGAGAATTGCCTGAACCCGGGAGGCGGAGGTTGCGGTGAG